CCGCGTGCGGCCTGTGCCGCTGGGGCCTTGGGTGGAGCTCCCTGTGGGGCTACGAACCGTGTGAGGGGTGTGCCAGATTGGGTGGCGGTCCCCGCATGCGGCCTGTGCCAGTGGGGCCTTCGGTGGAGATCCCTGTGAAGCCACGAACCGCGTGAGGGGTGTCCCAAGATGGGTGGCAGTCCCAGCATGCGGCCTGTGCCACTGAAACCTTCGGTGGAACTCCCTGTGGGGCCACGCACCGTTTGAGGGGTGTGCTAAAATGGGCGGCAGTCCCCGCATGCTGCCTGTGCCACTGGGGCCTTCGGTGGAGCACCCTGTGGGGCCACGAACCGCGTGAGGGGTGTGCCAAAATGGGTGCGGTTCCCGTTTGCGGCCTGTGCCACCTGGGCCTTCGGTGGAGATCCCCATGGGGCCACGGCCCGTGTGAGGGGTGTGCCAAAATTAGTGGGATGATGCTGATGGTGACGATGAGGAGGAGGAGGAGGAGGAGGAGGAGGAGGAGGAGGAGGAGGAGGAGGAGGAGGAGGAAGGGGAGGAGGAGTGAGGAGGAGGTGACGCGGGGCGCTGTCTCTTCAAAACGAGGACTTAACACAACAGGATGGTTAGGAACAACTGCTTCAAAATGGACAACCATATGATACATCTTGTTGAATAAAATCGTCCCCTGACTGTTTTGATGACTATTTCTGAAAATCCCTCCTGTAGAGGGGCGTGCCCGACTTAACACTGACAATACGATTCGAAGGACGACGACGACGACGACGACGACGACGACGACGACGACGACGACGCCACGAGCACAAGGAGGGGGGAACGAACGACGCGGCGGCAAGGGGCAGGGCCACTCTGGGCTGCCACTCGCCCTCGCTCGGAGGCCCCTCCCCCGTGCATGTTTCGATCTCGTGCGCCTGATGTTTCGCGATATTCGGGGGCGGCCAAGAGGGGGGCGTCCAAGAGGGGGGGGTGCAAATCATGGCCAGCGGCATGTGCTCGGCCCAGGGGGGGGCCAGGGACGTAATGAAATAAGAAGAGGCGCCATGAAATCTGGGGAAATATCATGGCCCACGCCATGATATCCACCCCCCCCTAGTCATCACCCCCCTCTTTTCCGCCCCCGAGATATGGTCGAAGATGTTCCTCGAGGGTTCTCGCCGGGAAACAATGCACGCGCCCCGGGGAAGCCCAAGTACCGATACCGCTACTCCCCCCGACCTCTGCCGAGGTGCGCTCTGACCAAAGTTTCAAGGCGAATCCAGCGGTGGCGACGAGGGCCTCCCAGGAGGCCGCAGCATGGGAACGCGGACGAAGGGTACTGGTAGGGTTAAGTCGGGCCTGTCCCCCTCGAAAAATGCTTTAAAAAAACTGCCCCAAAACACTCAAAAATGATCCCCAGACTATTTCTTGACTCTTTTTGAAGATTCCCCCTGTAGAGGGACAGGCCCGACTTAATGGCAGTGGCACCTGTTCCTCCTCCGACGTCCGAGCGATGACAGGACACGGGGCAGGCCAAGGCGGCCCGGCGCGTCGCGCGCCCGTGCGCCGGCGCGGCGGGGGGCGCGGTCGCCGCTGCCGTCGATCAGGATGTTCCGGGGCGTCACGTCGCGGTGGTAGACCTCCTCGCGGCCAGGGGAAGGAGGAGGAGGAGGAGGAGGAGGAGAAGGAGGAGGAGGAGGAGGAGGAGGAAGAGGATAAAAGAGGGAAGAGAGGGAGGGAGGTAGGGAGGGGGGGTGAGGAAGGGATAGGAGGGAAGCAGACGGAGGAAAGAGTAGGGAGGAGGGGAGGGGAGGAAGGGAGGGAGAGAGGAGGAGAGGAGGAGGAGGATGAGGGAGGAGAGAGGAGGAGGAGGAGGAGGAGGAGGAGGAGGAGGAGGAGGAGCAGCAGGAGCAGCGAGAGGGAGCGGCGAGCTCAGGTCGACCCCTGGGGGGGAAGGCAGAGGGGGTGGGCCCTCGCACGGGGCTCGGGAGGCCAGGGATCGCCCTGAACGGTGTGCTGATCGCTCTCGTTTTGGTTTCGTTTTCCCTCGTTCTCCTTCACTGCGCCCCGCTGTGCTGCAGCACGACACCGGAGCGCAAACGGCCCACGGCATCGCCCAACACACTCTTTCAGGTCGAACCCCTGGGGGGCATGATGGGCGTGTTCTCCACCACCACCACCATAGGTTGTAGGGGGGGGGGTCCTCCTCCTCTTCTTCCTCCTCCTCGTCCTCGTCCTCCTCCTCCCACTTCTCCTTCTCCTCCTCCTCCTCCTCCTCCTTCCCTCCAACTTCTGGTGGTGGTGGTGGTGGACAACAGGCTCATCAGGGGCAGGCAGCAGGGGGGTCGGCCCCCGCAGAGGGGGCCCGGGGGGGCGCCTTCAGAAGCCCCGCCGAGCCCCGGGAGGGCCTGCCCCCTCTCAAAGTCCCCCCCCCTCCTCCCCCTCCCCCTCCCCTTTCCTCTTCCCATCCCCATCCCCATCCTCCTCGTCCTCGTCCTCCTCCTCCTCCTCCTCCTCCTCCTCCTCCTCCTCCTCCCTCCTCCTCCTCCTCCTCCCCCTCCTCCTCCCCCCCCACCGTCGGCGCGCCGCCGAGGTGCAGGCGCACGGATCTCGTGCCCTGCAGTGGTGTCGGCCCGGGCGAAAGGAGGGGGGATAGCAAAGGGGGGGCTTGAGAAGCAGCTCGTGCAGCTAGTTTTCCCAGCGCCTCTCGGCGCTGGGAGGCGCAAGTGTATCGAGGAATGGGCCCGGCGGCGGGGCCGAAACCAGCTGCATGCAGCAGATTTCGTACCCCCCGTCCCCAATCCCCCCCTTTCGTCCGGCCCGACAGTGGAGGCCAGTCCACAAGAGACCTTCCACAAGAAACCCGACCCTGAGACCCCAGGACGTCCACCGATCCTCGGCGTGGGAACTTCGCGCCGCTCTCCATCGCGAAGCAAACGACACCTGAGACACCCAGGGCAGGGCGACGTCTTTGGCCGCGAGCTCTGCCCCGCGATGTGCCAAAGCGTCGGCAAATTCGCTTTCGAGGGTGACGGTCTCGGCCTGGCCCACCTCCGCCAAGCTGGCGGCGTCGACAGGAGAAAACAAAAAAGACAACGGCATGCATAAGCATAAACTGCTGGCGCTCCGCGCGGATGTCGTGGATCCGTGCCGGGCGCGCGAAGGGCGGCGCCGGAAGCGCCGCCAGGGGGGCCCGGCCCGCGCGGATCCAAGAGATCCGCGCGGAGCACCAAACATTTATGTTCGTGGTGTTTGTCTTCGGGTCGAGGCGGGAACAGCGCATGCGCAACACCACTCCTGCGGCTCCTCCGGCTCGCTTCTGGAGAACTGCGGCGCCCCTGCAGCCACGGGCCAGCGGGCCACACGGGCTTGAGAGGCGCGTCCCGTCTGCCGGCCACCGCGGACCAGCCGGAAGCCGGTGCACAGGGCGATGGCCCCATGTGGTGAGTCTGGAACCCCATAGCGGAGCTGCGAGCTCGGACGAGGGAGAAGGGGAATCAGGAGGAGGGGAGAAGAAAGAGGAGGAGGGGAGAGGAAAGAGGAGGAGGAGGCGGAGGAGGAGGAGGAGGAGGAGGAGGAAGAGGTGGAGGAGGAGGAGGATGCGGCGAACATCAGGAGCACTCCGTGGAAGGGCTGGTCCGGGTCACGCTGGCGGGGAAGGCCGGGAGAGCGTGTCCGGCCGCCGCCTCTGTCGACGCGGAGCGCACGTTGTGAAGATTCTGGCAAGTTTACTTTGCACGGCGCTTCGCCCCCGTCGAGGATGGCCCGGGCCACGCGAGTCGCACACGCCTGCGCAACATAGAACGGAGGACAGGAGGAGGAGGCGGAGGGCGGGGAGAGGACAGGGAGGGTGGAGAAGGGCAGGGAGGAAATACTGGTGAGGATCACGGCGCCAAGCGCGACATCTGCTCGGTCCGCCCGCGCTGCCGCTGCGTGCGACAGGCACCTGACGAGGGGGGGGGAGGACCACTGAGGAAAGCGTCGTGCGCTACTGCGCTGTGATGCAATATTGCCGCGCGCTAAACGACGGTCTCGCGCCACGCGCCATGTGGGCGCGCACCCTTCCATACGCGGCGTGATCCCTACTCCACTGGACCTCCCAAGATACCACGAAAAAGGCGACGCTTCGCAGCCAACCGGGGAGCCGCGAGGTCTCGGCTGGGTATGCGTGGCCCCTCATTCTCGAAATTGGCGACAATTGCGCAATTCGCAGACAGCCAGGGGTCCAATAGGTCTCGGCTGGGATGCTGGAACCCTAGGACGAGAATAATGGCAGAAGCCGGAACATTGTGACAATGTGTCTTTTGGCCCACCGTTCTGTGGGAGAAGGGCACCATCCAACAAGCCCGTGTGTGAGAGAAACTCTCGTTCTGTGAGCTGTATAGGAAGAGGAAATACGATGGCGGGAAGGGGATTGGGGAGAGGGAGAGGATACGGTCAGGATTTGAGAGTATCTAACGGCCCTCGCCTCTGCAGCCCGTGTGGAACCTTCGGGGATCTTGGAGACCCTTGAAATCCTGGCACGCATCATTCTCATGACCTTTTGTCGGCGGCGAGCGAAGGGGGGACCGAGAAGGAGAAGGCCTTCCCAGAAGGCGGCGGGGCTTCTCAGAAACACCCCCCGCCTTCTGAGAGACGTCATGTCTTCGGGGAGGGCCGAGAAAGCTTCGCAGAGGTCGAGGGGCTCCCAGGCCTCACGATAAGACCTCCTCCTCACTTCCCCCTTCTGGATTGGGCGCCCGAGTTATCCGGGTCAACTCGGGCACGGGGTAACTCGGGTTCGGACTCCCGAAAAACGAACCCGTGTTGGCCCTGACCCGAGTTACCCCTGATGAGTTGGGGCTCTGGACGCCCGAATTATCCAGGGTCACTCGGGCTCGGGGTTACTCGGGTTCGGACTCCCGAAAAACGCACCCGAGTTGGCCCTGACCCGAGTTACCCCCGATGATTCGGGGCTCTGACTGCACCCTTGCGTCGCCCCCCCCCTCGCGAGGGCAGGTCCTCCGAGAAGCTCGCCAGGGCCGGCATCAGCTGGACCAGCAGCTCCCCGGCGACCCTGTGGCGCGCGTGCCCCGCATGCGCCCTCGTTCAGCAGGCAGGGGCGCCACTGACAAGCCTCGAACTGATCCCTGCCCCGAATATCAGGGCGGGCATGTCGCCCTATTGGCGGATTGTGAACGGGAAGATAGTCAGAGAAATCGACAAATGGTCACAAAACAAATGTATCCAGAGTATGCTTGTACTATTTGTCAATCGTCCTCCTGTAGATGAACAGGCCCGAGTTAACCCGAAGGTTGGCAAGCCAAAAGGCGTGGACGATCTCAGGGGTGCGCTCTCGATAACATAACCAATCCTTGACGTCGGCATCGACATGAGGCGAGTAGTCCAGGCTGTTGAGCCATGAAATCTGGAGAGACATCGTGGCCCTGGCCACGCGATTCCCCCCTCCCTCCTAGACATCACCACGACCGGGAGCCGAGCACGAGGGGGCCGTCCACGAGGGCGGCTCGCAGGCCGTGGCCCGAGGCATGCGGGGGGGCCCAGTGGCGAAGGGGCCCAGGGACATACCAATAAATGTACACACGCGCACGTCCCACGATCCCCCATATCTTCCCTTTTTTTCTGGGTCTGAATCTTCCCCCCACTTCCCATATGTTCCCACATGTTTCTGGGGGTCGACGATTCATTGTGTCTGTGTGATTTGTTCCTAACCATCCTGTGGTGTTGGGTCTCCGTTTTGAAGAGAAAGCGCCCCGCGTTCCCACTCCTCCTCCTCCTCCTCTCCCTCCTCCCTCCTCTCATCCTTGCCTCTGCACTCCGCATGTCTCTGCTGCGGCACACCCTTCACACGGTTCGTGGCCCCATATGGACTTCCACCGAAGGCCCCAGTGGGAGGGTTCGCATGGCACCACCGCGCCCACTTCGGCACACCCCTCACACGGTTCGTGGCCCCATAGGAAGCTCCACCGAAGGCCCCAGTGGCTGGCTGGGTTCGCATGGCACCACCGCACACACGGCACACCACTCAAACGTTTCGTGGCCCCATAGAGAGCTCCACCGAGGGCCCCAGTGGCTGGGTTCGCATGGCACACCCCCTCACACGTCTCGTGGCCCCATAGGGAGCTCCACCGAAAGCTCCAGTTGGAGCGTTCGAATTGCCCCACCGCGCCCGAAGTCGGCACACCCCCTCACACGTTACGTGGCCCCATAGGGAGCTCCATCGAAGGCTCCAGTGGGAGGGTTCGCATGGCACCACGGCGCCCAATTCGGCACACCCCCTCACACGTTCGCGGTCCCATAGGAAGCTCCTCCGAAGGCTCCAGTGGGAGGGTTCGCATGGCACCACCGCACCTAATTCAACACACCCTTCACACGGTTCGTGGCCCCATAGGGAGCTCCACCAAAGGCTCCAATGGGAGGGTTCGCATGACACTACCGCGCCCAATTCGGCACACCCGTCACACGGTTCGTGGCCCCATAAGGAGCTCCGCCTGAGGCTCCAATGGGAGGGTTCAAATGGCACCACCGCGCCCAAATTCGGCACACTCGCTCACACCACCGAAGGCTCAGGTGGGAGGGTTCGCACGGCACCAGGGCGCCCAATCGGCAATTTCCCGCACACGGTTCGTGGCCCCATAGGAAGCTCCGCCGAAGGCTCCAGTGGGAGGATTCGGATGGCACCACCGCGCCCAATTCGGCACACTCCTCACACGGTTCTGGCTCCATAAGGAGGTCCACCGAACGCGGTAACCACAATGCGGTACTCGCACCTGCAAATGATTGCGTCCTTCGTCAAGCTAATTCTCCCTCCTGAGGTGGGGGGGGCAGGGAACGCGCTGAAAGAAGAAGGGAGGGCCATGACAACTAGGGAGATACCAGGGTCCTGGCCATGATTGGTTGTATTTATGCCAGGCCGCTCTGGGTCACCTGGTGGGAGGGGGGCGAGCGCTGAGTAAGAGCACGGTCGACATGCTGGCTCCACCGCCACGCGGCGGTCCCATTTGGGACGCGGTCGGGGCCTGCACGTCCTCCTTCAGGCGAACATTGGAGGAACCATAGGAACCAGCCAACTTACACGCCCGACTTAACCCTGCTCCCGTGCCATGGCGGGCACAAGGCTTCCCGCGCTTCTCGGGGATCTTCTGACCCGGGTCAATCCAGACCCGGGTCAGCAGGAAACCAACAATCTGCAATGCAAGATAAAAAGAACTGCAACGCAAATCTTCGGAAAACCGGGTCAACCAATATGTGCGGCCGCCTCGCGGCCACGAGCGGCTCGCTAACCCGGGTCACCCAAAAGGGGTCTTCGCAGGATCTTGCAGGATCCGGTGCCGTCGCTGACCCCCGTTTGCATTGACCCCCGTCTCAAGGCTCCCGAGCTTCCCCTCTCGTCGGGGTCCCGGCGAGGGCGAGGGGCGGCGGCGGCGAGGAGCAGGAGCAGAGGCGCACGATCCCCCGCGGGAGCTCCGGCCCAGCTGCTCGGGCATGCCGGGGGACGAGCGCCGTGCCATGCGCGAGTTCCGTGAAACAGCATTGGCATTGCCGCCGTTCACGTGCCGACTCTGCGATCAGAACTCTACCACGCGCGCTTGCTTCATGCGGCACGCGGCCAAGGCGCCCACTTCCTCCTCCTCCTCCTCCTCCGCCGCCTCCTCCTCTTCCTCCTCCTCCACCTCCTCCCTCTCCTGCTCCTCCTCCTCCTGCTCCTCCTCCTCCCCCTCCTCCTCCTCCTCTTCTTCTTCTTCTTCTTCTTCTTCTTCTTCTTCTTCTTCTTCTTCTTATTATTATTATTATTATTATTATTCTTATTTTTCTTCATATTATTATTCCGATTACTATTTTTATTATTATTCTTCCTCCTCCTCCTCCTCCTCCTCCTCCTCTCCCTCCTCCTCCTCCTCCTCCTCCTCCTCCTCTCCTCCTCCTCCTCCTCTCCTCCTCCCTCCTCCCCCCTCCCTCCTCCCTCCTCCCTCCTCCCTCCTCCTCCTCCCTCCCTCCTCCCTCCCTCCTCTCTCCTCCTCCTCCTCTCTCTCCTCCTCCTCCTCCTCCTCCTCCTCCTCCTCCTCCTGCCTCCTCCTCGCTCCTCCTCCTCCTCCTTCCTCCTCCTCCTCCTCCTCCTCCTCCTCCTCCTCCTCCTCCTCCTCCTCCCTCCTCCTCCTCCTCCTCCTCCTCCGCCTCCCCTCCCCTCCCCCTCCCGCCTCCCTCCTCCCTCCTCCTCCCCATCCTCCCTCCTCCCTCCTCCCTCCTCCTCCTCCCTCCTCCCTCGTCCCCCTCCTCCCTTCTCCTCCTCCTCCTCCTCCTCCTCCTCCTCCTCCTCCTCCTCCTCCGCCTCCTCCTCCTCCTCCTCCTCCTCCTCCTCCTCCTCCTCCTCCTCCTCCTCCTCCCCCTCGCCCCTCCCCCCTCCCTCCTCCTCCTCCCTCCTCCCTCCTCCCTCCATCCCTCCTCCCTCCTCCCTCCTCCCTCCTCTTCTCCTTCTCCTCCTCCTCCTCCTCCTCCTCCTCCTCCGCTTATCTCCTCCGCCTTCCTCCTCCTCTCATCCTCCCCCCCCGCCTCTCCAAGACATCCACCCCCTCTCGGACGCCGCCGCCTGCGGAGGGCGCCGCCGTCGCGCGGCCGCCACGGCGCGCCCCGAGGCACCCGAGAGAGAGAGTCGAGCGCGCGGCCTTGGCTCGAATGGGGCCCGGGCCCCACCCATTGGCAGGAAGAGAAAGGAGGAGAGGGAGGAGGAGGAGGAGGAGGAGGAGGAGGAGGAGGAGGGCGAGAGAGGAGGAGGAGGAGGAGAGGAGGAGGAGGAGTAGAGGAGGAGAGGAGGGAGGAGGAGGAGGAGGAGAGAGTCGAGCGCGCGGCCGGCTCGGATGGGGCCCGGGCCTCCCCCCGCAGAGGGACGCCTCGCTGGAGACGGCGGCGGCGCCTGTGCTGGAGAACGGAGCAGCGCCTGCGGCGGAGAGCAGGGAGTCGATGGACACGGCACGTTGGGACGATTGTCCACCGCCACTACCATGGGCAGGAGAGGGAGGAGGGGGAGGAGGAGGAGGAGGAGAGGAGGAGGAGGAGGAGGAGGAGAGGAGAGGAGAGGCAGCAGGAGGAGGAGGAGGAGGAGGACAGGAGGAAGGAGAGGAGGAGGAGAGGAGGAGGAGGAGGAGGAGAGGAGGAGGAGCGGAGGAGGATCTCCCCATCCTCCCTTCTCCTCCATCCTGCACATGGGAAATGGCGGTGGGAAGAGTTGGCCCATCACGGCACTCCGCGCCCAGCTGCCCAGCGAACGGCGCCTCGAGCAGAGCGCCCCCAGGCTGCGCGGCCCTGCAGACGGGGGAGGCGGGGGTGCATTGGAGCCGTCCCCGGCCCCCCTCCTGGGGGCCCGGGGGCGGGGGCCTCGGGCTGCAGGCCTCCGGGGCCCGCTCACGCTTGTCCTCCAACCGCCCGCTGTCGGGGCGGCGCTGGGCCCCGTGGGGCTCGGCGCTCGGCGCGGCCCCTTTGGGGCCGGCTGGCATCGCTGGAGGGGCCCAAGTGCACACGAGCAAGTGCACACGAGTCCGAGGGTTCCCGGCATTTTCCCATATCTTCCAACCGCCCGTTGTTGGGGCGGCGCTGGGCACTGTGGGGCTCGGCGCTCGGCCCTCTGGGGCTGGTTGGCCCGGAAATCGAACCGTAAGTCGGATCGGCGATCGATAGGAATCAGATCTGCGGAGAAGTCGAATGGGCGGAGATCGGCAGGCCAGTATGCCTCCAAGAAGAAGTCAGAGCCCAGATCGGACTCCCCAAACGCACCGAATCGGAATCGGAAGCCATCGAAATCGAATCGAATCGGAGGAGTCGAACGAGCCCTGCTGGGGTCGTGGGCGGTTCAACCCCCCGTGGAGGCTCCTCTTGGACGCCCCCGAGGCTGGACGGCACCGAACTGAAAGGCCGCCTAGATGCGGTCCGAGCAGATGGGGATCGGAGGATCTCGCCGCATCGCCGCTGCATCGCCGGTGCAGTGGCGGTGCACAAGCGACGTCGACGATGCACCCGCGCCGTCGGCGTGGAAAATAATCACAATCCAACTCGAGCCGCATCGCCCTTGCATCGGCGACTCGGCGCCTTGACCCGACCCTTTGGCGGCGAGCGTGGGGGGGCAAACGGAGAAGGAGAGGGCCGTCTCAGAAGGCTCGGAAGTCCCCCGGCCTTCTGACAGGTTTTGTGAGACTTTCCCGAAGATGCAGAACACTTCTCGTAAGGCCGGCGGGCTTCTGAGAAGCCCCGCCGCCTTCTGAGAAGGTCTTCTCCTCCTCACTTTGGGTGACCCAGAATGGGGTCCAGCTGAAAGGGGGTGGTGTAATAGATTTGGGGCAATTGTATTGCAAACGTATTGCGCCAGAGAATTGTGTTGCACTATCTTGCAAATGATGTGCTGCACGCGAACATCCAGCAATACACTTGCGCCCGGGAATGCATCGCACGCCCCAAATGCGTTGCAGCTCCACAAATCATTTGCACCAAATCTATTGCACCACCCCCTCGTCGCTGGACACCCTTTGAGGTCAACCCGACTCACTCCCCCCCCCTGTCGCCGCCGATCCCACCGACCCCATCCACTCGGACTCCATGCCAGCGGCGTGGCCGGGACACGGCGCGCGCGCGCAGGCAGGCGGAGAGGGGGCGCCTGCAGGCTGGCACGAGGTCATCCTCGGTGCGAAGGGTCTGCCTGGCAGGGCTTCGCGCGGGAGGCGCAGGCGGGCTCGGCAGCCGCACCGCACCGCGGCCTGGCATCGCATCGGGAACGGGCGGCACGGCCATCGAACCGCCCTGCATCGAGCCAACATCGGATCGCCGCGCCTTTTGTGAGGGCCATCGACCCGTCCTGCATCGAGGCGGCGTCGAGTCGCGGGCCGAGCCCACGGATCGCATCGACTCGGGTCCCAGGCGGCCCCGGCAGGGCCGACGCGAGGCACGGAGGCAGGAGCGGGGCCACGCAGAACGCATCGTCCGGGGCGGGGGCCTGCTGCGCCCGGCGGCGGGCGCGGGGGGGAACGGCGAGAAGGGGCGGGCCTTCCCAGGAGGCTCGGCAGCCCTCCAGCCTGCCGAACAGTTGTTCTAAGCCTTCCCCAGAGAAGTGGAAGGGAATGGAATGGAAGGGCCCGAAGGGGCAGATGCACGGCACCAAGTCTGAAAGAGTTGGAACCACTTGCCTTTAGCTAAGTCGTCGTTGATACGAATCCTCACACTCAGAGCAGCCATTCGCTGCGGAGTCTCCCGAGGCCGGGAAACATCTGGGAACAACGCACAAATTATCCTGGCGAGGGACCCAAGCATGTGAAGCTGAGACTGCCACAGTTGTGAGCCCAGCCTTCGGTGGAGCTCCCTATGGGGCCATGAAAGGCGTGAGGGGTGTGCCGACATGGGTGCGGTGGTGTCATGCGAACCATGTGAACCCTGCCACTGGTGCCTTCGGGGGAGCGCCCCATGGGGCCACGAAGCGCGTGAGGGAGTGTGCCAACATGTGTGCGGTGGCGCCATGCAAACCCAGCCACCGGGGCCTTCGGTGGAGCTCCCTGTGGGGCCACGAAACGCGTGAGGGATGTCCCGAAAATGGTGCGGTGAGGCCGCGAAACGCGTGAGGGGTGTGACGAAATGCTTGCGGTGGCGCCATGCGAACCCTGCCACGGGACCTTCGGTGGAGCTCCCTATGGGGCCACGAAGCGTGTGAGGGGTGTGCCGACATGCGTCCGGTGGCACCATGCGAACCCTGCCACTCGGGTCTTCGGTGGAGCCCCCATTATGGGGCCACGAAACGCGCGAAAGGTGTACCGAAATGGGCGCGACGGAGGCCATGCGAACCCTGCCACTGGGGCCTTCGGTGGAGCTTCCCGCCGGGCCACGAAACGTGAGGGGTGTACCGACATGCGCGCGGCGGCGCCATGCGAACCCTGTCACTGAGGTCTTCGGTGGGGCCCCCTTCTGGGGCCACCAACCGTGTAAGGAGTGTACCGAAATGGGCGCGGTGGCGCCAAACGAACCCTGCCACTAGGGGCTTTGGTGGAAATCCCTGTGGTCCCACGAAGCGTGTGAGGGGTTTGCCGAAATGAGTGGTGGCGCCATGCGAACCCTGCCACTGGGGCCTTCGGTGGAGTTCCCCGTGGGGCCACGAAGCTTGAGGGGTGTGCCGAAATGGGTGCGCTGGCGCCATGTGAACCTTGCCGCTGGGGCTTTCGGTGGAGCTCCCTGTATGGCCACGAAACGCGTCAAGGGTGTGCTGAAATAGGTGCGGTGGCACCATGCAGCAAATCCTGCCACTGGGACGTTCGGTGGAGCTCGCTATGAAGCCACCAAACGCGTGAGGGGTGTGCCGAAAATGGTGAGGTGGCGCCGTGCGAACCCTGCCAATGGGGCCTTCGATGGAGCCCCCTTTTATGGGGCCACGAAACGTGTGATGGGTGTGCCGAAATGGCTGCGGTGGCGCCATGCGAGGGACATTCGGTGGAGTTCCCTACTACGAAACGTGTTAGGATGTGCCGGAATGGGTGTGGTGGCGCCATGCGAATCCTGCCACTGGGGCTTTCCGTGAAGTCCCTGTCGGGCCACAAAACGTGTGAGGGGTGTGCCGAAATGGGCGCGGTGGCGCCATGTGAACCCTGCCACTGGGGGCGTTCGGTGGAGCTCCCTACGCGGCCACGCAACGTGTGAGGAGTGTGCCGAAATGAGTGCGGTGGCACCATGCGAACCCTGCCACTGGGGCCTTCGGTGGAGCGAGGGGTGTGCCGGAACAGAAGCATGCGGACGGCAGAGGTGAGGACGGGGAGGAATGCGGAGGGTGAGGAGGACAGGAGAGGAGAGGAGATGGGAGAAGAGGAAAAGAGAGGTGAGGAGGAACGCGGGGCGCTGTCTCTCAAAGACGAAGGCCCACAGGATGGTTGGGAAGAAACTCTCAAAAAGGCGTGAGGGCTTCTGTGAATTCCCGCCGCGTTCTGGGGAGGCCTCCTCCTTCTCATTTCCGCCGCACTGCTCGCCACCATTTGAAGGCGGCACCCTGAGGATCCGGAGGTACCAACTGATGCCCACGCTCCTCTGAGAAAGGGCAGCCCCCCCAAGCATCGTAGTCTTTCCTCTAAGAATCGGAGTAAGATGCCAAAGGAATTAAGGTCTCATGCTAGATATGCTCAGTGGTGGAAGATACGGGATGAAACATCGATGAAACTGTAGGTTATCCGTTAAGCAACTACACTCAAGAAGAGGAAGTGAGGGGTCCGCCAGGGGCGGACGACGACGCGGGCCGCCCACGCGCCCCCCGGCGCGCTCCTTGTTCCCTGTCGAGCAGTAGATACAGCTTCGGTATACAGTGATACCAATGTCAAGGTATGGCAAGGCAGGCAAGAGAGAGGCAAGTGTATAATGAGGCGGGGAGGAGCATATTTACTCCCCCCGCGGCGGGTTTCGTAGAGTCCAACCAGCCACAGCCCGCCTGGCCTGTACATATTTACAGCCACCGGAGCGAACCCAAAAAGCATTTTACCACTCAACGGTGGTTGCCAGGGGGCTGAAGGCCGGAGAAAACCCGACGAATCCCACCAATGATTAAATAAAGCCTCTCCGCCGATACGACTAGGTCGTTCGGTCGGTGCCGTGGCGACTTGGTCGCGCGGCTTGTGCATGCCCTCGCTTGTTATACTAGAGGAACCGCGCCTGCGGAGGCGGAGATGGAAGTCTCGGAGTCAAAGACGATGAGCCTCCCGTTTGTCCAGCTGTCCAATGAGGCGGAGCTGGCTTGCCTCCCTTGCCACGGCCAGCATAGGGAGCTGACCTGGTGTTCTCGTTATTGCCCTTGCTCTTCGCGTACCCCTTGACATTCTCTCTCTGGGAGTAGTAGTCGTACTCGTTGGGGAACACAAAATGCCACGCCCGACTCTCATTCTCTCTGCGAGCCATCCAGTGCATGACGTGACGGTGGACCCAGTATCCCTGCAATCCATCCGCGGTGCACGTCGGGAAGTGGATCGCGGGGTCGTAGTCGCCAGCAGCGCGCCCGGCATCCATGGCCCCGGCGCGCGCGCGGACATTGACCAATCCCATGTGTCCCCGTCAGAAGAACGTCTCGAGAACTCCTCTCCCGCCGTGACGGTTTGACCGCCGGCGGAGTGAGGAGACTCAGTGATGTCGTCGTTGGCCCGATCGTCTTGGGCGTCGGGCCTTGTGGGCGGAGGAGGCGGAGCTGGGCGAACAGCAAGGCTTGGCCTTGCTTTCGCAACAAGAGCCCCTTCCGAACCGGCTGGGCCGCCGGAGGGCTCGCCAGCGCCCCCTTCCTCACGAAGACGTATTTCATGCTGCAATTTAGCGCATCTTACAATACCCCTCGCGGCAGTAGCGACATTGGCACAATCTTTGCCACACGCAGTGCGGAAGGGGCCCTCGTCGCTGTCTTGGATTCCAGCTGATTCCACGAATGGGTATAAGAAGAAGACAGCATCTTGCAGCTTCATGCCCTGGCGACGGATCTCTGCACAACGCAGTTTTCCCATGTCGCGGGCCCACGCCCCAATGAGGCCGTCTGTCTCCACAGCCGCGCGGATGCGGCAATCAAGCGCACATGCGTCAGCGCGGCGCTTATCATTGTCATGCCCTGCTGCTGCGTCGAGTCGCGGGTAAGGGGCCCATGCGTGGGGTACGCAATGTAATACCCCACAGCAATAAAACAACTGATGAGCTCGCGGACGATCACAATCACGCGCATGATACGAAGACCCAATTCTAGGTCTTCGACGGGAATCTTCCAATTCCGCTCAATGGTCTGTCGCACATCGTCAGGGACAACATGTGTCAATTCTCTCGCTAGGCACAACTTATTGGTCGCGGTCGTGTCCGGGTTGTAGCATGCGTGCTCAATGACATATTGCGCAGCCACATCTATGGCATCTTTCTTCGTCACTGTGACGCTCAATGAGCCATCAACACGGCGAGGGTACACCCGTCCATCGGGGAGATCAAGATCTATCTTCCCGTCAAGAATCTGCTGGGTCTGGGACCCGCAGACGGCGGTGAAATCGAAGAGAATTGGTTCGGGCCCCTCGCTGCCTGTCGTCTCGGTTTGACCGGCGACAGGTTTCACAATACTAAGAGGATGATCAGAGCAGATCTTGTTGCGCCTGGATATGAAACTGGATTCACGAGTAGGACGAGCAACATACCGATCTGCCCAGGCAACCGGCGGACGTCCACGAGGGCTGGGCCCTGTGGCGTCCGCGCCGGTGTCCTGTGTAGCGGGCAGCCAGGGTTCGGCTCCTGTCTTTGCATCTCGCATTGTCTGAAGAGTCGGCACAAAAGTTCGTCCTCTGCATGGTGCGCCCCCATTCATCCTAACCTTCGTCGGGTGAACTGCACGAGCCAGGCGCTTCTGGCCAGTCGAAAGCAGCCAGAGCGGGACAAGAGAAGGGGCGCGCATACTGATCAATATCTGTGGCCCAGAGCAGGGGCTACCATTCAGCGGTCGTTGGCGCCTTAACCCCTTGTCTATCAGCCAAGCGCGCGATCCATATAATAAATCGCCTCTTGAGGGGTTCAAGGTACTGAAAGAAAGAGCCGTGACGCGCCGGCGACTGGGCCGCGGCGTGTTCAGGGAACCGGGCAGGAACGCTGCCAGGGCGGCTGTTTCCAAAGGTTTAACCTGAAGCAGCCATCGTAGTGTATCCATCTTCTGCCAATTTACGCTCCTGC